ATATGTATAGGAGTGTCATGAATTGTAACACTGCTGTCATTGGTCTGTGACTTTGTAATTCAGTCTTCCATTAGGTCCAGGTGGGAGTATTCCTTGCATTGGGATTGTCATAAAAGGCCAGGTGTGGTCCCATTAAAATCGGTTCACTTCACCCTCAACACGCAGCCTCGTCTTGTGATTTTAGGGAACAGCTATACTTTCTATAACCACTATCTCTTATAAGAGCTGTACAGCTATACTGGATTCATGGTCTGCTTGGAGATCGACTGGGGAATACCGCAGCGCTACCCACACTAGGGAAAAAGGACATCTCTGGCAGTGAACACCCCTCCTCTCTCGGGGTGACCACCACAAGCTCCAATTAAGATAACTTAATTATCTCTCAAATAAGAAAAAGTACATACAATTTTAACATATCACGAAAATACATGAAAACAGTTCAGGAACCTCACAAAAATTATATTCCTGAATAGCCCCGACCTGAGTGCACAACATATCCAAAAAGCGATCAGATCGGTTTGGTAAAACGAAAGTCATGTTCGAACAAAGTTTTGACCGACCGGGGGTTCCTGTGCGTACACCGATGTACGCATTCCCTGTCTTTTAAGAAATTACTGTTTCCCTTGTTCGATAATTTCTTACTCCTGAACGCCAATCTCCTAGCTGGTTGGGAAGTCGAACGAGCAAGGGTACAAGTTTCCACGGGGTTCACGAGTTTGCGTAGCCGACTCAGAGATCCATGCCGTCAACGACCATGTACCGCTGCTTGCGTTCAGGAGACAAGATGGCCACCAGTCCTGATCGAATGTGTGTTCGTATATGCGAATGGCAGCCACCCGGGGAAGCATTTGAGGTAATTGCTCGTTTGTGGTTAACAGCCAGGGGTGGTCGGTGATTACTAGGTGTTAACAAGGGGGACCATACATAGTCTGTTCGGTAACCGAACAGAAGGGAACAGGTGGCCGAACACAAGGAAACAATTATCTGGTAGTGATTCCATTTGAATGCAGGGGGATATCAGACGAAACAAAGTACAAATAAGGGAACACATATGAGGAGTCTCAACTCTTGTGACAGAAACTCATAGTAATGCTCTTCAAGATATATGGTGAGTTTTACACCCCACAGAAAGGGGCTTTACGCGTTTCTCAAAGACTCTTCTGTCTTATTTGAGAATTGACTTTATTTATTTTTTTGTAAATATCATTTTTATTGTTTTGACGTAGGTAATATGTCAATGCAAACAGTTGAGACTCGCAGGTCTCATGTGCATCTCAAGCAGGAAAATGTTGATCATCAATGCAAGGGTTAGCCTACTTTTGAATCTTCCCCAGCAACTCTTTGGGCGGCCTTCAAGTGTGTTATAAATGGCTATTTCATCAAAATGGCATCACAGAATAAAACAAGGAAGGAAAAAAAATTGTCAGATTTACATATTAAATTAGAAAAACTCTCAAGGATTAACAAAAATAATGAAAGGATCAAATCAACAATCAGCTAATAAATAATTCAAATAGAAAACTCAAGAAAATGAAAACTAGCTGGTATTATAAAGGCAATAGGGCCGACAGATTACTATAATCAAAATTAAAAAAATATACTAAAATTTAAAATCATTTATAAAATAATTTACGAAGGAAATACTTGTTTATCCCCAGATAAGATCGCCAAAACTTTTGAAAAATACTATAGAGAATTATATAAATCATTAAACCAATTATCAACTATAAATATATATATATATCTATATATATATATATTGTGATCCTTGTCAGCAGGTAGCACGGTCCTCTAGGGCAAAAACATGCACAGTCCTTTGCTTTGCATATAATCCAGTCACTTTATTGTTAAATCCACACAGGATACAGCAGTAAATTAAAACATAAATTTAACACAAAACCCTATAAACAAAAACCTAGCTCGGACTGAGCACTAACTCACTTTGAACATCCCTCTCTATCGGGTTAAACTAACAAAACATATGGCACCAACCTTATTAGTTAGCAACACTCTGCTGGCTAGCCTGTTGAGTTCCTTTCCGCACCCCTAGTGCTCCAAGCCAGCCTTGCCCTGACTGCTTTACTTTCCGCACTCCCAGTGCCTCCAAGCCAGCCTTGACTGCTTCCTTCTGCACTCCCAGTGCTCCAAGCCAGCCTTGACTGCTTCCTTTCTGCACTCCCAGTGCCTAGTCTCCTTGACTCTATCTGGAGAGAACAGCCTCTCTCTCCTACCTGCTTCCTGGGAGGAAGCCAGCAATCCCTCTCCTTTACCTGTCTAGCAGGGAGGAGTTTATTCCCACTGCAACAGCTCATTAACTGCAGCTGAGCAGTGGGTTGGAGACGATCCAAAAAACCCTGGCCTGGATCCATGTCTCCCCAGAAAACCACTAAACTGTGGAGTGGAGCATTGGCCCACCCTTCTCTCCAAATACTCCACCCCAGGGGCCCATAACTAAACAGCGTTTTGTGTTGCCTACAACACATCCTACACATACTCCCCCTGGGGTTAAAAGGCCTATCTGCCTTCACTTTATCACAATATATAAAACTTATGTATTATCAATGTGTATTGTAGATATGTTTATTGTTATCACATTATATGTATATTGTAAAGAACTGAGCCTCGTCAAGTGTTCTTGGAGGGGCTTGCTTTAACTCAGACAGAGGATTTGGAATTCCTATTTTGAAAAGGAAAATATTCAAGGCTTGCAAACTTCAGCAAAAGTGTGAGTGGCCATTTGTGAAAGCAACTTTTACAATTTGCCTTTATACACAGTTATACGCTATGTTGTTCTATTTGTGATTGGTTCAGCAGATCATCCCCCTTTTTTTGCTTATATTGTGTGGAAGACAAGAGGAAGTCTTTTGGGATACTATTGGAAATCTTATCCTATACAGGAAAGTTTCTTTCTGTTGATGTAAATGAAGCACTTATTACACTGTGGTGGGTGTACACACATATTGTTTCTTTCTATATCAGTCTGTCACATTGGGATGGCTTACTAGGAGCATAGAAGCATCCTGGAGACACTGGTATCGTATCGATTTATACTTAAGGGCAACGCTAGCATTCGTGCAGTGCCCCTGGTTGCGGAGGAACTCAGTGAGATGGAATGAGGCAGCGACCCCATATGAAGAGGAGTTCCAGAGGAGACTACAAGGCGCACTGGCCCAGGAGTATGACCCCATTTCAACCAAGGAGGAGCTAGCTTTGAGAGATGGGATAAGGCAAGATCTCTGGCACAAGACCCTGGAGCAGTCTCAAGCTAAGGGGGAGAGAAAAAAAATAATGGATATGATCTCCGTCTAGGGAGATCATAAAATGCTGGCAAAAATAATTAATGGACAAATATGAAGCACTAGTACCCAAAATAGTAATAGCGATAACCAGTGAGGTCTTGCAAAGGGGAGGAAAAAAGGAGGAACAGGGTCCAAAGACAACTATACCATTTGTATGGAACAGAGGACCCTTAAATATTCAAAAAAGGCTAGATCAAAAAAGTAAAAATAAGAAAACTTTATTAAATCACAAGAAAAGACTAGCCAGAAGAAGGGAGCCACCCCAAAAATAATGGGGGGAAGGCTCTATTTCCAAATCCCCTTAAAAAACTATAGTAGGTATAGAGCTAGATTAATTGTATGGGCATCCAAAATGGATTGTATAGATGTAGCTCAATACTAATAGCGACAGGATTGATGTGGCTTAAACATTATGATAGAAAATTAGAAGAGCATAAATCCCTATAAAGGAGAAATATAAGGAGACAGAAGCAGAGGAGAGGGGAGGGGAACAGTGCACTCCCTTCCTAATATACTAGGTACATAAAATAACCTCAAAAGCTAAGTCTGTCCCTAAACTCCATGAAACACCTTCGTGGGTGTTCTAATCTGACTGCTCATTCTAAGGAGTAAATGTCCACTGCCTGTTACTACAGTATCCCTACTGGCTATGTTTGAAAAAGAAAAGAAAAAAATTACTTAGAGTGTTAAACACCTATTGTGCCCAACCCATGGTGAAAAAAAGTAAATAGTGATAAAAGCCACTCAGGGCATATCGGTCGCCCGACGCGCGTTTCGGTGTCTAAATGACACCTTCGTCAGGGGCTAAAGAAACGCCGGCTAAAAAAGCCGGGACTTTTAAATGGTCTGGGAGCCAATCATCTGTAGGGTTTCCCTATCTCCGCCCCCCCCTTCAGAGTGAGTCATCATTGATGACGTTTGGAATGGTCATCACGTGATCCATAACGTGAGACCCCACGTGGACGCATAGGGGGGGGGGCGGGACCAAATTACATCATTGTGATTGATGTCTATGTTTTAGGCACTTCCTTCGTCGATACAATTCGTTGGGATGTGCTTATCTAGATGTGATACGCTGGATAAAGGAGTTATGGGTCCCTACAGCTACTGTTACTATTGTAACATAAATAGGAAAAGATGAATGAATGAGGGGTTCTGAGTTTTGCACCCTTAAAATTATGTATACAGTATTATAGTTATCATTTTTGTACAGTCATAGCAGAAAAGTCATTAGTGAGTAGAAAAAATAAATTCCATCACTCTACATTATTAACTAGTGCTATAGGTCAAACTGTTATTATAATGATTCTAAACTAATCTAATGTATAGTCATAAATATGGATTTAGAGTACAAAATGTAATAGTATGGTATCATTGGAAATATGCTGAAAACGCTCAGCATATTGCCTTCATAAATGTGGACTTAAAATGCCAAATGTAATAATGTAATATCATTAATGAGATGCTGTGATTACTCAGTATATCCCCTTCATAAATTATTGGTGTTTTCAATAGTTGCTCATGTTTCAAGGTCGCTCATTGTGTTATCGTTATAGGTAATCCTATCCTTTACCAGCTACTTCAGATGTTTATGAGTCGAGAAGAGGGAAAACAAAGGGAGGATATGGCTGTTCCAGACTTATGAATAATAATCAAAAAATCTAATCTTTTTAAGAAAAAGTGAGTGCAAAAGTACTAATATTTTAATTTGTCAACATTTTTGTGTGTGAGATCATGTAATAAAAGGAGAATAGGAGAATCCCTCGTTCAATCCTTTTGGGTACAAGGTTTGCAGGCGGTAGATCCAATAGCATTCTCTCTTTCTAATTTGCAGGTCCCAATTGCCTTTTCTTTGATCTTGTTTTATAAGTTCAATGCCTTGAAATTTTAAGACAGTAGGGTTTCCTTCATGAACTGTTTTAACATGTCTTGAGACCGGAGTCTCTATGTGTCTTGAAGTCTTTACCGAATTGATATGTTCTAGGATTCTTCGTCTAAAGGGGCGGAAAGTTTTTCCCACATATGACATCCCACATTGGCAGGTAATCAGGTAGACTAATCCTTTAGAACTACAATTAAAGAAGGCTGGAGTGTCGAAGTGAAGGCTTCTGGAGCTGTTGTAAAAGGACTTGGAGTCTTTTTTAATGAAGTCACAAGCTTTGCACCTACCGCATTTGTAGGTACCTTTAAGGTTATTAGTTAACCAATGTTTAGGTGCTTGTGTCCTCTGAAAATGGCTCCGTACAAGGGAATCTTTTAGATTCTTCCCTCTCCTTGCGGTGAGGGCTACCTGTGTTGGGATGATGTCTTTTAATAAATCATCTTGTTTTAGCAGAGGCCAGAATCTGTTCATGATGGATCTGACACAATCCCAGCCTGCGTCATAAGTGGCTATACATCGAAGTTGTTTGTTGTCTGGTTCGATTTGTCTGTGAGGTGTTGTTTCCTCCATTATCAGACTCTCTCTATCCGTAATGAGAGCTCTGTGATAGGCTCTCTTCAAGCATTTATTGGGATATCCTTTAGATCTAAACATAGCTCGTAAATCTTTCGCCTTCATTTTGAAGTCTTCCACATCTGAACAATTGCGCCGAAGGCGCAAATATTGACCAATAGGGATGCCCCTTTTTTGAGGGACTGGATGGTAACTGCCCCAATTGAGTAAGCTGTTTGTGGCTGTACTTTTTCTGAATAAGTTGGTCTTGATGGTACCGTTGGGATTTGGAATTAGGACAAGGTCTAAGAAGGTTAAAGAGGGCGTTCCTATCTCAATTGTAAATTTGAGATTAAGATCATTCACATTGAGTTTCTGTACAAACTCTGCAAATTGTACATTTGTGCCTGTCCATATGATTACAATATCATCTATGTATCTCTTCCAGTAATAGATGTATTGTGACAGATCATTGTTTGAATCCGCAAAAACTATTTGCTCCTCCCACCATCCCAGGTGCAGGTTGGCATATGAGGGTGCACAAGATGTCCCCATTGCTGTCCCCTGCACCTGGTGGTAGAAAGTTCCATCGAACAGAAAAAAATTATGTGTCAAAATGTATTTGAGGAGTTGTATAGTGAAATCACTATGTTTGTCAAACTTACTTCCTCTTCTTCTTAAAAAGTGGCTAGTATGTTTTAAACCTAAGGTATGAGGAATTGAACTATATAGAGACTCCACGTCTAAACTGCACAGTATAGATTGTGAGGGCATTTGAATTTTTGTTAGCTCTTCCAAGGTTTGTTTAGTATCTCTAAGGTACGATGGTAATCGGGTCACCAAAGGTTTCAAGATTTGGTCCAGATATAGGCTTGCATTTTGAGTCAAATTATTATTCCCAGAGACTATGGGTCTTCCTGTGAGAACTTTGTACTGTTTGTGTATCTTAGGCAGACTGTAGAAAGTTGAAATACGTGGGCTATCACTTAAGATGTAGTCATATTCGTTCTTAGAGATCACTGTATCCTGCAATCCTTTTTGTAGTATTGTTTTTAACTCCTCTAGAAATTTTTTTGATGGATCCATTGGGATTGACTGGAATTTATTTTTTCTACTCACTAATGACTTTTCTGCTATGACTGTACAAAAATTATAACTATAATACTGTATACATAATTTTAATGGTGCAAAACTCAGAACCCCTCATTCATCATTCATCTTTTCCTATTTATGTTACAATAGTAACAGTAGCTGTAGGGACCCATAACTCCTTTATCCAGCGTATCACATCTAGATAAGCACATCCCAACGAATTGTATCGACGAAGGATGTGCCTAAAACATAGACATCAATCACAATGATGTAATTTGGTCCCGCCCCCCCCCATGCGTCCACGTGGGGTCTCACGTTATGGATCACGTGATGACCATTCCAAACATCATCAATGATGACTCACTCTGAAGGGGGGGCGGAGATAGGGAAACCCTACAGATGATTGGCTCCCAGACCATTTAAAAGTCCCGGCTTTTTTAGCCGGCGTTTCTTTAGCCCCTGACGAAGGTGTCATTTAGACACCGAAACGCGCGTCGGGCGACCGATATGCCCTGAGTGCCTTTTATCACTATTTACTTTTTTTAACCATGGGTTGGGCACAATAGGTGTTTAACACTCTAAGTAATTTTTTCTTTTCTTTTTCAAACATAGCCAGTAGTGATGTACCGAACGGTTCGCCGGCGAACGGTTCCTGGCGAACATAGCATGTTCGCGTTCGCCACGGCGGGCGAACATATGCGCGGTTCGACCCGCCCCCTATTCGTCATCATTGAGTAAACTTTGACCCTGTACCTCACAGTCAGCAGACACATTCCAGCCAATTAGCAGCACAGCCTCCCTAGCAGACCCTCCCACCTACTGGACAGCATCCATTTTAGATTCATTCTCAAGCTGCATGCTTAGTAAGAGGAGGGAAAGTGTAGCTGCTGTTCATAAGATAGGGAAAAGCATAGCTAGGTTAGGGATAAGGGTATGCTTTTTTTTTATTTATTTTT